TTTCTGTGTTTGTAAATGCTGTACATTTAATTAAGTTATTGTTAATTGTTATTGGTTTAATATAAGTGGCTAATGTTCGGGACGAACAGTACTAAGGATGGGGCAGTGTTACGACAACGCAGGTCACGTGACGCTCGTATCACGCCACTTTCTTCTCGAAGCTTCATGAAATGTCGGGAGACTACTAGATTGGAGTAGTCTTGTATATATATAAGACCGGCCAAGAAGCAACGTGAGATAATGAGTAAGAATATTGTTGAGCACTTGAGAAGTTCGTTGTGAATTAAGCGTTTGTTATAGAGCGTCTATTGAAATTAAGTGTATCGCAAAGTTGTATTCAGAAAGAATAAACCAGTTTTATTTAAGAAAGGACTTGTATCGGTAAAGTTTCTTCGGTAAGAATTTTTACGGAAAATCGACAAACGAACGGAGACGTAACAATATGTATAGTTAAGTAGTGTATGCATGAAAACACACATATAACAAAATATGTGAAAAATATCGTAGGCTTTTATCGAACTCGGATCTCATTTTCCTTTGGGAATTTAGTATACTAAAGAAATTAAAATGTGTTTGAAGAATTCGGTGTTTCTTGAAACTTCGAGGAACTGATTATGATCTAAACTTGTAGTTTGAGAAAAGTAAAATCAGTTGACGATCAACAAACGAAAACCCAGCATGATAATAACATAATTTAGACTTATTTAATTTCCGGGACAAATAATGAGACATAAGAAGTGAAACGTAAAATCATTATATTAACTTTAACTTTACACAGCAATTGTTGTAAAAAATGCAACTATACATTTAAACCACTTTTTTGGCGGTTTTTACTGGAAAGTAACACTTGCTTTTAATTGTTTAAACAATACTCATCAATTCATAGAAATTATACGAATGGGCTATCTGTGCTCTGCTCATTATGGATATTGAAACTCGAATTTTTAGTGTTATAAGCTCTCACGCTCAACACTGAGCCACCGGGGTGAACTAAATAGTTTAGATGACGAACTTCAATTTAGTTTAGCACTATACTTTACAGTGCTTTATTTTGTCGGTGATATACATGTATATATATACATGACTCGTGTGTCTCCTCAGTGATAAGCTTGAGAACTGATAACGATAAATCCGGAGTTCGATTCTCCCCGCTGAACACAGCGCAGACACCCATGGTATAGTCTTGTGCTTAACAGCAAACAATAAAATGTGTGCATGCACTCTCATGGGTAAATAAAATAGCAAGCTCTTCAATAAGGCCTTTAAACCGCCGCATCATAGTCTAAACTTATGTCAACAACAATCATTTAAGGTCATTCTTTTACTTAAAAAAAATAGTTGTGAATTTTTTCGCAGTGTAAAACTAGTTTTATTAAAAGAAGTATCTTTCATTCTGTATATAAACATTAAAGAAACAACAAGGTATGATTTGAGTTTTGATGGGTATTTTTTATTACAAATGACGTGTCGCCATGAAGGCTAACAACATGTTTATCTGAGAACTCTTTGGTTGTTTTGTTTAGGAAATCTTGAAATTATTTTAAAAAGTACAAATTACAGGTGTTAAAAGTATAAACTGTTAGTAATAAATTCACTTCTGTAGTTTAGTGTCCCACTAGACTATTTTCTAATATTCCAGGTTCTTGTGCCAGTCATTTTCCTCCTCGTCGTTCTTACGCTTTACATATGTAGTCTGGATATTCACAGAATTCTGAAAAAAATATATATCTTACTGTAATTTAAGATATATTTACTAGAAATTGTTTTTATTAAATGTTCAGAGTTCTAAAATTGATATACTAGTTTTGAAATGACCGACACATATATACGTATAACTACAGTGTAGAGCTGACCGACACATATATACGTATAACTACAGTGTAGAGCTGACCGACACATATATACGTATAACTACAGTGTAGAGCTGACCGACACATATATACGTATAACTACAGTGTAGAGCTGACCGACACATATATAAGTATAACTACAGTGTAGAGCTGACCGACACATATATATGTATAACTACAGTGTAGAGCTGACCGACACATATATAAGTATAACTACAGTGTAGAGCTGATATTTTAAAGTTATAATTCCGTTCGATATTATGCTAGTAACTCAAGTACCTAAACGTATGACTGACAACAGAATAATTTCTGAATATAAATTAATAAGAAAACATACTGTTTCCACTTTCACAAGGGCAGAAGTAGGCGTAGCTATCGAACTTGATCTGGCCGCTGGAACATTGTTCGTTTTTTAGCGCCATCTTCTGGCAGGTCCGTGTCCCAGTTCGACTGTCAACCAAGCAGCACCTGCTCTTACACTGACTACTGTACTGACACATGGTACCGACGTCCCTATTGTCATTCTAGAGAGACAAATGTATAATCAGTGAGTGCTCTACAAATAAGCTCTTTAACCTGCACACGATCAGTCTGCTTCGGTAATAAGATTTAAACAATAATAATATAGAGATTTAACAATACAAAATCGTTTCGTTAAGCCCTTCAGGGTTTTTCATCATGAATGCATCTCCAGCTGAACTTTAAATGTAAATAAGTGCAAAAAAATATTGGAAATATAAAGTTGTTTCATATTATTTGAATTCAGTGCACAATTAAATCAGGATAACAATACTGATTTCTGCTTATAATTTGATTTATGGCGCTAATTAATTTTTCATTGAATTCGTATTTTGGACTTGTGGCAAAGATACTATCTGTCATTGACATTTATATTCCTGTAAACTCCCAGTGGAGCATAGTGCCGTAACAACACCTCACCAACGGGGTGGAGTTTGCTAGACCCGCGCTCATCCTGGACTTGGGACCAGGCAAAGGCGGAGGTTGGCATGTTTGGTGTGACGGGGATTCGAACCCGCGACCCTCAGATTACGAGTCGAGCGCCCTAACCACCTGGCCATGCCGGGCCTTTAGATAATAGTATTAGGCCTATTACGAACTTTTGGAGAATAATGTAGTGTTTAAAAATACAAAACTTCTAATACTTTTGTCTCATTATAAATATAATTCATTATAGGTATATGAGGTTGTTTGTTTGCCATAGTATTATGGTTATAATAATGATATCAAATCATGTGTCATGTGTTACAATGTGACGTAGATTTAACAAATGAAACACTACACTGTTGCAGATTTAACAAATGAAACACTACACTGTTGCAGATTTAACAAATGAAACGCTACACTGTTGTAGATTTAACAAATGAAACGCTACACTGTTGTAGATTTAACAAATGAAACGCTACACTGTTGTAGATTTAACAAATGAAACGCTACACTGTTGTAGATTTAACAAATGAAACGCTACACTGTTGTAGATTTAACAAATGAAACTCTCTGTTGTAGAGTTAACAAGTAAAAACACTGTTATATATTTAACAAGTGAAACTCTGCTGTATATTTAACAAGCAAAAACACTGTTGTATATTTAACAAGTGAAACTCTGTTTTACATTTAACAAGTAAAAACATTTGTATATTTAACAAGTGAAACTCTGTTGTATATTTAACAAGTAAAAAATACTGTTATATATTTAACAAGTGAAACTCTGTTGTATATTTAACAAGTAAAAACACTGTTGTATATTTAAAAAGTGAAATTGATTGTTTTAGGTTTAACATGTGAGACTATGATATAGTGTCGTATATCTTAATCTATTATTTGACAAATATCTGTATGTGTGTCTGTGTGTCCGCTTTAATTGGCGAATGGCTATTGTTACCAAACAACACCTTTAAGACTTTCCGGATATGGAGGGGGGGGGGTGTCGGTGTTTGTATCTGACCCTCCCCCATGTCTTACCTGTACGTTGATCATAAAAACAACGAACATAAAAACACGTCATTCAAACCTAAATTTCTTATCACTGCAGAATTAACTAATACAGAACCCTATATTCATAAAATACTGATTCTCTTATTGATTTCTTACTGCACAGATTTTGGTGAGATATAAAAGTTGTTCTTTGTGCAAGGAAGAGGCAATGTCTAGACACAGTAAAAATCTGAAACTTAAATAAATAACCTAGATATGTTTAATGGTATACGTATACATGCTCATGGAATAGAATATTACATTAGAATTGCTGTCTGACGTATACTTAATGTCGATGTCCATGTTTGTTTGTTTATTTGAAGTTAAGCACAAAGCTACACAATGGGCTATCTGTGCTCTGCTCACCACGGGTTTCTAGCGTTGTAAGTCCGCAGACATACCGCTGTGCCACTGGGGGCCGATGTCCATGTAAAACATTGTTTTGCACTATTCCAGGAACTTTCCAACATTTCAAGTTCGAAAAGTTTTAATGTCTAAAATAAACGTAATCCAAAACCAGCATTAATTAACTTGTTAAAATATTCTGTGTGAAATCTGAATCAACTGATGACGTCATCAACAATAATGTAACATATGGCACGAGACATAACTAACAGAAGAATATAAAATTCAGTGAAGAGATCTGAATCAACTGATATCACACGATATGCAAACTATCAGATTAGAAAAATTCAAAGTATATAATTGCAGTGTTTAATTAATACAATAATTAATTTAGTATACAGTTCTACCTTTATAAGAATCCTATAATATATTATCACTCAATACGTAATTGTTATAATGATTAGTCTCAAAGTGGGTTCCTTGTCATCGTAATTGTTATATATATTTTTTATTCTAGACCGAAAGCGTTTATGGTATTAAGCATTTAACACATAAGATAATGTAAATATCTAAGTTACCTTTGCACTTAATATTATCTTAAGATTAGCACAAGAGAAAAACTACAAATTATCCTGGTAATTTGTATAACTAATTAAATATAATTTTCGAACGTTCTTATTTATAAATATATTAGAATTAATTGTTTCATCAGTTGAGTAGTCTGGCTCTTAACAATACTTTCGTCCGTTAATCGAATAATATCTCACGAGGTTCAGTCCTAAATATGTATGCTACAATCTCTATAATAAGATTCGGTGTCTGTGTGTATGTTACGTAACTCCTCCTAAACTGTTGGTTGCACAGACTTCTAAGTGGTGCCAAACGAATCTTCTCGACCTCGAGATTTGTACAAAAGTAAAACTTTTCACACAGCCCCTTAGGTAATCCGAGTATTTCGCGAAAACACCTTTACGGGAATTCCCCAAAAGAGGACCCTAAATTTGGCATTCATTTACATTAAACCACATATATAAGTAGGCCTACTAATTATCATTTGTAACTTGGTGAAAAATATTAAACTTGCATTATAGCGACAATGATAACTAAACTGAAAAAAAGGCAAAACAGTAACTCAAGCACAAAATTTACATTATACTGGACTGTAAATGTACACTATTAGCCCATGGGTTCGCTAGTTGTTTAATAAAAACATAATGATTAAAAATACTAAGACTAGATACATTAAACCTTATAACTAATACTGTTGATGAAAGTAACATTAAAGATAGAATAGAGTATACCTTACTTATGGAACACGCAAACACTATGTGCTAGCTTCAAGTACTGTAGGTTTTGTTTCGTTTCTTCTTAATATATTACTATGTAAAATTAAAATTGAAAACCTGTATTTAAACTGAAACAGTGTGATTTATCTATTTATTTTTGTATATTTTTGTTTTGTTTAACAAGTTAAATACCGTTATAGATTTAATAAGTGAAAAACTGTTGTAGATTTAATAAGAAAAGCATTGTTGTAGATTTAACAAAAACACTGTTAACATGTAACAAATGAAACATTGTTGTGATATTAATAAGTGAAACACTTTTATACGTGCAGTAAATGGAACACTGTTGTGATCTTAACAAATAAAACACTGTTGTATACTTTAACAAATGAAAAAATCTGATGTAGATTTAGCAAGTGAAACACTGTTATAGACTTAACAAGTGAAACACTGTTGTAGACTTAACAAGTGAAACTGTTATAGACTTAACAAGTGAAACACTCTGTTGTAGACTTAACAAGTGAAACACTCTGTTGTAGCTTAATAACTGAAACACTGTTGTGGATTTAACAAGTGAAACACTGTTGTGGATTTAAAAAGTGAAACTCTCTGTCGTAGACTTAACAAATGAAACACTGTGTTACAGATTTAACAAGTGAGAAACCTTGTTATACGTTTAAAAATGTAACTTATTATTGTACTTTTAACAAGTGTAACTTATTATTGTATTTTTGACAAGACAAGTGAAACTTACTAGTTTAGGTTTAACAATGTAACTTATTATTGCATTTTTAACAAGTGAAAATTTCTATTGAAGCCTGTAGGTTTAACAAATGAAACTTACTGGTGTTGGTTTAACAAGTGACACTAAAAACCCGAAAGAGCACGAGACATTTGTGTCAGAAAATAAACACACATCGTCAATCATGAATGAGAGTTTTTAAATAAGTTTAGTATCAAATAATTTTAAGTAGAATTACAACTATAATTTTTTAAAATTTGGAAACGCCCGGAACTATCTGCACGAAAGCGTGGGTAAAACTCCTAAAGTTGAACACATTTGTCAAAATGTGAACTTAAATACAAGCTTAAAATATTTTCATGCACATGAAGTACGTTATGTGCTTAATACATAATACAATAATTGTTAAACGTCTACTATATGATCTTACGTTTATACATTTACACTAACGCAAGTATAGAGTTTAGAAATCAAACACGTGGGAATAGAACACCAGCATAAGGAACACACAGGGATAGGTTTCCATGGTGATTATTAGGTAATTGACTTCACCCATTCTGTGTATTTTATTGGAACGCCTTTAGGGATTACATTTTTAGGTCACACGTAATCGTGTGCGAGAGGAAGTGATGAACCTATAATTCATTCCTTTCGTATATTGTTATGTATGGCCTAAAAATTGGCATGAATAAACATAAGTAGAGCGTTGTCCTTTTAGAAACCCTCATCAAGAACCTATAGTCTACTAGGATTACTTGCATTAAACTCTGATTGATTTTAACGCCTATGTTGTAGATTTTAGTGATTTATCCTTCAAAATTTGACTTCATTCAAAAAAAAAAATAAACAAACGACCCTCTCTTGTTGTTTTAGTTCATTAACCAGTTTTCTAGGTTTACAACATCAAAAGTAAACTTCTATATTTTACACTGTATTTATGATGTTAAAATGTGTATAGAAATTACACATCATGTGTATTCATGTATTTCAACTTCTTTTTCGTCAAAAAATACTCATTGTGTATGTTTTTCTGGGCTCAAGCGTAAAATTGTATACCCTATAGCGCAGTGGATAGCGCGTTGGATTTCTAATCCAAAGGTACCGGGTTCGTTTATCGGCAGGGATGCCATCACCATTGCCTGGTCCCAAGTCCAGGATGAGAAAGGGCGCGGGGCTAGCAACTCCAACCTGCTCAAAAATTACTGAAACAACAACTTCCGTCGGCGAGGTGTTGTTGGGGCCCTATGCTCCAGTGGGAGTTTACAGAGATTATTGGTGTTGTTGGGGCCCTATGCTCCAGTGGGAGTCTACAAGGGTTATTATTTATATAATTCCTTAGGATCCAAACAAATATTTTGAGTTTGTTCTAAGGGGAAGCAGTTGTATCTGAAATGGTTTGGTTTTTATTGTTGTTAAACACCAAGCTACACAATGGACTATTCGTGTTCTGACCACCAAGATTATCGAAACTGAACTTTAGCATCAGTAGTGGCTACTTTTAGGTTCATCTGTAATCACTACTCTTGCTTTTAGGTCATATTACACAGATGTCATATTTTTTATTATTGCAACTCAAAATTACGCCATTAAAATGTAAAATAAAAAAAAACACTGGATTCATAAAAATTAAACAAATATCAATGGTAACCTAAGATCACATACTAGAACGACACTAAAAATTGTTGACATTAAATCAGTTTTGTGTTTCTTCTGTGATCATCGTAGTCAATCATAGTAACCCACCGAATATTACTTATATTTAATTTCAGTAATGAAGCGAAAGTTGAAATCCGCTATAAAAACAAACTCTACAAAGATTGAGATTCGCATTCATCTGAACGAGAGTAAAAGCACTCTCAGTTGAGCACTATCTTCAGTTTTAGTCTAAGTATAAAGTGCTTGTCATTAGTTGTGATAAGTTACCAGTGCATTTGCTGCATTTTTCATAATTGAATCGACTTACGTTTCAGAAAAATTGTCAAGAAAGTGAATTAAAAATATACTCACTAAGTAAGAAAATTCTTCAATTGGTTTCTGGATGAGAGACTGGTCGACTTCATAGCATGAAACATTAAATACAAGAATAACGACGCATGCAGTAGCTAGAAACTCGATCTTTAGAGTACTCATTGTTCTCTTCTCCAATGTTGCAGATGAAATTGATGAGATCTCCATAAACTCTCTGGTTAATATAATAATTCTTAGTCCACCCACCGCCTTTAGTATTCCAAGAAACTCTACACCCTCTTGGATTTCTAGGTGTAACTTTGACAACTCTTTACCATTTCATCTCATTGCATAACTAGTATAAAAACAAACAATTTCTATCATCATCCATTTACAAGTCTAAGCTGTAGCTTCGGTCACGTGAGGAAGAATATGGTCCACGTCATATCCCGATTTTTTCAGGTTGGCGCAGAATGTATCAACTATTTTCACATAGGTGGTTCTGGAATTCTATATTTTTAGGTTACTCCCTCCTTTAGTACACAGGGTGTTGCTACATGCAGAACAAACGTGCTTATTCCTAACTTAATTACAATAATTATACGTGACTTTTCGCTGGCTGTGGATCTCACCACTGTCCTCTTTAAGCTAATTGCATTTCCATGAACATGTTGGGAAATAATGAAATTTTTAGGTTTTGAGAAAATAAATGTGTTGTGACATTCACTGGCGTATTACATTTGTTCACAAGATTTTCTCGGTTGTACTACATTGGATTTTTATACATAAAATATTAAACTATGATAAGAACAATATTTTCAAGTGTGTCAAAACGAATAGAAAACACTGAAAAATTCACCATTTTCAAACTAGACTTTTACTAACTAAATACAGCAAGTATGTTACACTTGCACTAACTAAATACAGCAAGTATGTTACACTTACACTAACTAAATACAACAAGTATGCCACACTTTTACTAACTAAATACAACAAGTAGCTACACGTGTTCAAACTAAATACAACAAGTATGCTACACTTGTACTAACTAAATACAACAAGTATGCCTCACTTGTAATAACTGAATACAGCAAGTATATTACACTTGTACTAACTAAATACAGCAAGTATATTACACTTGTACTAACTAAATACAGCAAGTATGCTACACGTGTACAAACTAAATACAACAAGTATGCTACACTTGCACTAACTAAATACAAGTAGCTACACGTGTACAAACTAACTACAACAAGTATGTTACTCTTGTACTAACTAAATACAACAAGTATGCCACACTTGTACTAACTGAATACAGCAAGTATATTACACTTGTACTAATCAAATACAGCAAGTATGCCACACTTGTACTAACTAAATACAACAAGTAGCTTCACGTGTACAAACTAAATACAACAAGTATGCCACACTTGTACTAACTAAATACAACAAGTATACTACACTTGTACCAATTAAGTACAGCAAGTATGTTACACCACTTACATTTTGTCAAAAGATACTGTTTAGACTCATATAACGTGTTTCATTGTACATATCTGATAAGAAGCGCCACTCATCTATAACAAAAAACTACTCATGTGTCATTTTGATCCACTGGATGCATTCTTGGCACTATCACTGGTGATCTGTTTCGTACTGCTGTGAGTGATATACGCCTCGTTGGATGTCTATCATACTGTCTGTTTTTTTTGTTTTTTTTTACTGTCTGTACATTGAGGCGCCCTGTAGAAGCTGTGGTCAATCTTTTAAGGTCTGTTTCTATCTGTAAATTGAGGCCTCAGGTGCAGCTGTTACCAACCTTGTAAGGTATGTTTCTAACTGTAAATTGGGGCCTCAGGTGCAGCTGTGACCAGCCTCGTAAGGTCTGTTCCTGATTATCTGAACACTGAGAAACCTTGGTTCAGGTAGAGACAGCTATGTAAGATCTGATAATAAAGTCTGTTTTGAAAATCTGTACATTGAGTTGTCCTGGTGCAGCTGTGACCAACCTTGTAAGGCCTATTTCTGGACATCTGTTAATTTTTCTGCCTTATTTTGTTTTCACTCATGAAAGTGAAATAATTTATTTAAACAGTGAAGACAGTCCTTCACGTATTATTGGCATAAAACCTGGATCATTTTTTCACTTTTTTTAAAAAAAATCTTAATGTCGATAAAAATATTTTTTAGAAAGGCACAAAAAGTTTTGGTCATCACATGTATTTTGACACTATTAAACCAACTTCTCAGATTTAAAATACCAAGTACCTTACCCATAAAACTTCGTTGAAATGTTGGGACAAATACACTAAATTGAGCCTCCCCGGTGAGACAGCGGGAAGTTTACGAACTTACAACGCTAATATCTGGTGTCCACGGTGGAGACTATAAATTTAAGTCAGAATTTTACGTCGTTTCTAAAGCTTAAAAAATAACTTTCTCTTACACAGAGTAAAAACAATCGAAAAGATGGATTTAATTTGGAAAGAAGACGTAATGGTCTTTTAGATTTAGTGGCGCAGCTCTGATCTGTTTGTCACCATCTTTACACTAAAAACGTCCTAGAGCAGCTGTGGACATCTGATTAATTCAATTTGGAGCAGGTTTCATATGACTACAGCAAACATGAATTGATAAATATATTGTGGTAATGTTCTTGTGTCATGCATGACGGTCTGTCTTGTTCAGGTGTATGAGCAACTGTATCTTTTAGTTATAGATGCTGATAAGGCCCCTTTCAGATACTTTTAGTCAATTTCAACATCCTTCTATAGTTGTCCGGCTCCCATTCATCGGACGGATCTTTAAGTGCTTTTGGACAATTTGAGCCACTTTAGGCTGGATGATCCACGTCAAAGTAACAAACTAGAGAAGATAATGAAGTCAGAGTATATTTCGCGTGAGTTAAATGATCAAGCACTTGCATTTCAAGTGATATAACTGATCATTAGATGCGTGACTTGCATAAAAATGAACATAGTGGTAACTGGCATTATTTGATAACAATGGATTTACGTTGTCATAGCTATAATGTAAGAATTTCTACATATATGTAAAAGATTTGGGCAGAGTACTATTATCATATGGTGGCCAGTCATGCTGTGTGGTTATTGTGAAAAACTTTAGATCCAAGGGGTCATGATAGCACTCTGCACTTTGGGGTCGTGGATGTTATAAGAGTAATGGCCAAATCTCATTTTTCGATCATATTAGTTCCAGAGTTGGCAGAGGGAGCTGTCTGATTTTTCTTGAGGAATAAAAGAAGAGAAAGTGATAATGTGAAGATTATTGCAATAAAACCAAGACTTTAGAATCTTCCTGAAACAGTTAAGTTCCAAAAATTGTTTGATATAAATAGCGCCACCATTGTTTTAATGATGAGTGAAAGACTATGGTCCAGCCTTTTAAATTAATTCTTCCAGATGGGTGTTTATCTTACTTATATATATTTTTGACCCATTGCGGGATACCTCACTAGGACCTCGATAGAAGTTTACAAGGAATACAAAGATCATTGAATATGAAACCATAGATGAACCTTTTAATAGATATATCTAGTATTATATTGCATATGTTAAGTCTGTGTTAGTATTTTCAATCTGAACAGTACATTATGCAACACATAGGCTAAAATGTACTAACCAACCATACTTTAGAATACATATAATCAAAAAAGACCAACCAGTCAACAGCACGAGCTGCATAATGTGGAATTATTCTTAATCAAATAGCAGGATTGACTGTCACAATTAATGCACCTCCACAGCTAAAAGCTTGGAGTGTGTTCAGCAGCATACCACGAGCTCAAACCTTGAATCTTAAGATCTACAGCCTGGATTTCAAGCTTCAAAGTTTTGAAATTATAAAAAAAGAGAGGACGTAGGGAGTTTTGTAATATTTGAAACTACCAAGTTAAAAAATACTGATTTTGAATTATTTGAATTAGAAACAAGTAACAAAAGTGTATAGAAAGTATTTATTGATGGCCTGTTTTGTACATTAACAAGTTTCACGAAGACGGAAAAAATTATAATAACTGTACACCCAATATATGTACAGTTGGGGAGCAAAAATTCAAAACCAAGTTAGCAGTTATTTTTATTACTTTATCCAAGACAAGTGTTAACGGAAAAAATTATAATAACTGTACACCCAATGTATGTACAGTTGGGGATCAAAAATTCAAAACTAAGTTAGCAGTTATTTTTATTACTTTATCCAAGACAAGTGTTAACGAAATTTATACCAAAATAAAGATGGAAATTTATGTGTTTTAATAATAATTTGTGTGTGCGAGGAATTAACGTTGACTAGTACACTAGCTCACGGTCAGCTCTTGTATTAGTGTTTATACTATAGTATTATTATTACAAATATATAGTCCTAAAACAAGCGCACCACATGATTGAAGCTCCCCATTTGGATGTTTCAACTTTGTGAAATGTCGGTATTCTCTTTATACAATTACTGCAATACAAAATATATAAAAGTACGTAATCTCTGTCCTGAAAGATTGAAAGTTTAAACAAATAAGTTCCAACAAAATAGTGAAACGATCATAAAACACTACACGGCAAGCTAATGTATCGTCTATGTCATAATCATTTCTCACAAAAAAGAGAAACAACCAGAAACACATGTTGCTATATCATAAGCTAAATATTTAAATAAGTTTTGACAGAGTTGTGAAACAACCAGAAAGACATGTTGCTATATCATAAGCTAAATATTTAAATAAGTTTTGACAGAGTAGTGAAACAACCAGAAAGACATGTTGCTATATCATAAGCTAAATATTTAAATAAGTTTTGACAGAGTAGTGAAACAACCAGAAAGACATGTTGCTATATCATAAGCTAAATATTTAAATAAGTTTTGA